AACCATTATTTTCGTTTTGTGATAGTAACCTTTGACATCTATATACAGTGCATTCAAAAAAAAAAAAGATTTCGTTTTCCATAGTGCAGGTAGCGTTTATTGGGAAAAATTATCTAATTATCGAAAATACATACAATGTTTTTTTATAGCTGACGTTTGAATGAATATCCGAATGAATGAAATTTTCTCCTGACTATAAATGTTTTCTGCCATTTTTCTTGACATTTCCAATGAACCTTGGTGAAGCATATCGTCGTAAACTCACGCATTTCTGAAATAACTAATTAATTTTAGGATACGCCCCAATCCGGTGTATAATTTTGTATTCATTGCTCTACCGGGAAATATTTTTAAATAAGTTTATGCCAGAAAAAAATATTGCCCAAATCCAAAGTTGTTTAGTCATTACTATTTTATCCAAATCGCTCTTTCGGCACGCTCGTTGATTAACATATGTTCTAATAATCATGGCAATTTAATCATGTCTGGTTTCCATGATCTTTGATGGGAGATCATGTACAGCAGACCTAAGAAATACTTTCTTCTTGCGGAAGTATGTATGAGATTAACTTCATAGCAGCACGACCAAAAAAACTGCGGCTACTTATTTCAGTGTTCGGATCCAAATTTTTCTTTCGCTTTAGTTTTTTATATACGACAGCTGGTAATATCAAAAGAAGTTGTTACTTCGTTTGATATGTCGAATAGATTAATTTATTGCCAAACTTTCAAAAACTTAACTTCTATTAACTTAGATTACAAATCGAGTTCGGACCAAACAACGTATAAATCTATGTGATTAAAAACAGTACGGATGTTATATGTTCCAGTCTACTGTCTGTCTTGGATAACTCTGAAATGCTTTGGAGATATTCATACCAGTTTAGTAGCAAGTTTCGGTCTATTAACTGTATTTCAGCCCTTGCACTACAACTTTATTTTAAGCATGAATGGTTCGATCAAAACATTTTCGACGCACATGACGCATCTATTGATAAGCGCACAAAGTGGTTGAATATTGCTTATCAGTCAGTAACGGCTACTTTTTTAATGAACTTTTTATAGCCAATAAAATGGTATATAAATAATGTATAGCAAAGATCATTAGATGTGATAAAACTTTGATTCGTCATAAATTTTGCATTGGATTTGTCACTCAAACATTATTTATTAAATTATTAAATGCAGGCAATTTTATTGATACTTTTAAACTTTTACTTAAAAACTATTTATCTGCCTTCCTTTTATCTTATTTTAGCTTATTAGGGCCCACAAGATACTATTAGATATTTTCGTTAGCAAATTTCCGCGTACTAAAAAGTATGATTGTCGGAGACACCTATGAAGACACTTATCTAAAATTAATCGCAATTTATTTATATGCTGGATACTTCAATGTTATTTAATTTGATGGAAGACTAGACTAGAGATTTTAAAATTGTTTTACTAAGAAAATGGTTAGAATATCGAATTGCCTAAAGTTAAAAAACTCTTCTTGTCTTCTTCTTTCTTACCGTTAGGAACGTTCAAAAAAAATATTGTAATATTAAAAGTTATTAACTAAAAAAATTTGAAAACTGGAATTTCAAAAAATCTAAATATCAAAACTCTTTGTTTAGTAAAACTGTAACATTTTCTAAATAATGGATAATTTAAGAATTAAAAAATAGTAAAACAATTTTGATCGAGCAGACAGAGTGTAGAGACAAATGTTACAATTTATTTTAATTACTGTTTCCTGAAATTTATTCGTCTTTATTTCTAACCTTATTTTAAAAGATCAATGCAATACTCAAAGACATAGAATGTTGTGGAAAATATTGATCTTAAGTTCGCATAATTTAAAAAAAAAACGGGGAAAAAAGTTAATTTCGGTTGCATCGAAGCTATAGACACTTCACGAATACAAAAGATTCTGATCATTCAGTTTATATGGCAACTATATGCTAGAGTGGTTGAGTGAATGAGCAGTTTCTTGATGAGGAAAAGACGTGAACAGAATTTCAGATCGATAACTCAAAAACTGAGGAACTAATTCGCGTATATAATACAGACGGGCAGAGTTGTGATTTACGTGAGTACCTACCAGCGACGGCCTAATCTTACGGTGCTCAAAAGCACAACGGATCAAAACAATGCGTTGATCAGCGCCCCAAATAACGCAAGCTATTATATTTGCTAGCAAGGGGGGGCATATATGGGACAGATGGACATGGCTAAATCGGCTCAGCTCGTCATGCTGATCATTTATATATATGTACATATATTTAAGAGGGTCGACGTTTCCTTCTGGGTATTACAAACTTCGTGGCAAACTTAAACGCTGTTCAGAGTATAAGAATATTTTTGTTCAGTCAATAGAGGGTTAAAATGTCGAATAGAGCTTGTAAGCCTTAAAGAATTTCAAAATCTTTTGTGGGAAACAAGATTTAAAAAATAATATTTTCAAATCCCTAACAGTTACAGCAGAGATTTTGCTATAATAAAGTTACATTAAATCCCTATATTTTAAGTTTTACTATATACATAACTGTCCAACAGTTATTTACTAAATAAAAAATATATATTTACTTAATGTTAGTAATAATTTATTATTATTGTAATTTCAGGCTCAATACGTACTTCCATACTTTCTGGTTCAAAATTTAATGCCACTTGGCACTTAGCATACCCACACAAGGTAAGGAATAAAAAATTCTTATTTTTGTTACAAATATGAACATGTAAAACGTTATTTCAGTAATGATAATTAATAAAACACACTTGAGAAATGATCTATTCTTCATGAAATGGCTCAATGTAGGTTCTAGAATGATCACTTTGGCGTAAGATTTGATTAGGGTCCATTTAATCTATCCAGTATGTTATGTTTGGTTTAAAAACAAAATCTAAGTTATAAGTAAGGGGAGCATCGTATCTTAATAACGTTTTAAAATTGCAAAATCGAGCCTCTTCTATTTCCTATGGCATCGAACAGCACTTTGAATTAAGTCAGCTCCTTTTACTATACAACATGAGTTATATGTATATCTCAGGGAAGAATGATGATATCCAAATAAAAATTAATACATATTGTATAATGCATCCGTTATTATGCTGTTGTCTTTGTGCCGTATATATCTGCATATGATGATTTTATGTTAAACTCCTTTCCTTTTCTCGGCAAACAGTTGTCTTCTTTAAATTTAATTTCGAAATAAGAAATAATTATCTTCGCTAATGCTTGTTCTTAAAAATATAACAAAGTCTGCCTGGCTATACCATTTATAACTCAAGAACAACTTGTCTTATTTTGACGCCTGTAACTCTGAATTAAATTTGCTTCCATTCACCGGTTCAGCTAATTTAGGATTTCAATACAAATATTTGTTATTGGCTCCCTTTGTGCCAATATGAGCACTAATGCTCAATGAAGTTTTCCATGCACTTTGGCGAGGCTTATCGCCTGGGATGGCCTTAAGTGCCTTAAATGAACTTCGGTTTCTTCAGTTTGTGCTAATTTTTGAAGCGCCATTCGCTATATTGTTGGACAGTTCCGATGTCATATTCATACACCCACGACTTGTAGCCAGTAATGAGGCATTTCAGAAATGTAAGGTTCTCAGCTACGTTGACAAGCATGTCTTTTGCGACCTCTACTAGAAGTCGTTTTTTGCAAAATATTCAGGTATTTTGGTACGAGTCTAGCGTTGACATGCTTCATACTGATAACATTATACAAAATGTGTTGAGTCGATCCATAATCATAATCTTTCGATCAGATCACGGCCTTCACTGAATGCTTTGTGCCACGCAAACACTTGTGTTCGCGATAAAGTAGTCTCCCAAAAAATACTTCTCCAACATTTTCAATGATTAAGTAGCCGTGGTTTTGTTGGAAAAACAAACTTCCAAGCAATCCCGTTCTTCAAATTTTTTCTGTGGTAAAAATTGTTTGACAAACTTTTCGCGTCGTTAACAGCTGCCAAACCGCACACTAATTAACTTATGGAGATCAAACTTCACACGAACTTAAAGAAGATTGTCCAGTCTATGAAAATTTTATTATCGATTCTGTTTGGGTGAACTGTTTAAATGTTTAATAATTTCGGTTAAGTTAAATTGGTTAGTAATGCAGTCATGATGTTATGTCAGTAGTGTATATAAAACAAGAAAAAACGTTAACTTCGGCTGCATCGAAGCTAGAATACCCTTAACATGTGCTTTTTATAGCCTAAAGGACAATATGTTCGGAGATTCTAGCGAGGCCTTGTATAATATCATAGCCTTGTCAAATAAAAAAGTTTTCCATACAAGGACTTGAGTTCGATCGGTTCATTTGTATGGTAGCTATATACTATAGTTGTCCGATATCGCCAGTTTCTTGGAGAGAAAAAGACATTTTTAAAATTTCGATGTCTCAGGCTATGGCTGAATCGAGTCAGCTTGTCACGCTGATCATATAAATATACATACATGTATACACTTTATACATCCTGGCGAGCTTAATATACCCTGTTCAGGGTATAAAAAGCGGTTTCGCATTTCTCTATTTCTTCAACGTATGCTTATGGCAAAAGGTATGCCGGGTTCAATAGCTCCTTACTTTTTAGTAAAACAATTATTTTATTATTAAAAATATTTTATTTTATTTTGACTTTTGTTAACTAAAATTGCTACATACATACAAATATGCTATGTAAAATATAAGCGAATAAATTTTCATATATGTATAACGATATAAAAGTTTATACTATGTACATTTAATACTTGTAGCGTTCAAATAATGAATGCGTGAATCTATATGATGTATATAGACACGATATTTCACAATACTTCAGTTGTACAAGAGCAAAATATTCATTTTATATAAATGTATGTATGTACCTAAGTATATACAATACAAGTGCTTGCCTCGTTTAGATTTTTCTTTCATATACATAAATGTATATACTCGTATGTACCTGCGTATTTACGCTTAGTACTACTACTGGAACACTTGGATGATTTTAAAAATATAATTTCAAGTATTATTGTTTTATTCCTTTACGCTAAGTATTATATATATACAAACCGTTTTGTTTATGCTAAAGTGTTACGTAAGTAGTTAACAATCTGGGTACCTTCATTAATTGTTTACGTTTTAAATTGGACTCCTTTCGCTTAATTAAATCTATGTAATCACTAACATTGCTACAATAGCGAACACTAACGTCGTCAATAAACTGACTGCAGACAGTACGGTGGCGCCACCGGTCAGCTCGACTGTATTACAGCCGTCACTTGAGCAAATATTACATGTCCGCCCGTCACTGACGTCACAAGTGATTTGCGAATTGCAACCACGCTCAGTGAAGTCATCATATCTGGTCACACACTGATCGGTAGATGAGTAGATCGGACAGACCTGCAGATAATTGGGATTGTTAGAGCAATTCTCATTGACCGAAGAGAGACAGATGTGACATCTACGACGATTGATGGGGAAGATCTGTATAAAAGACAACAAATATGAAACATAAATTTAATATAAACTTGTTGCTGCTTTGCATGAGCATAGAAACTCACCGCATTGTTACAACTGTCTCCAACACATGTGGTGCATGTGCCGTTAGCTAGGCATGCCACTTGCTCATTTTGAGCCAACTCGCTTAGACAGCCGCGCAATGTATGGCCCGCTATCGGTTTGTAAAAAATATGAAATTATAAAATAGTTTACGTTTTATTCGAAATGTTTACTCACCGCCATTCAGATGCGTGACACATTGAGTTTGGAGCGCTGGACATGAGGTGATAGCTGCGACTGCGGTTGGGTTTTGTGCGCATGCGGGTGTAATCTCCGAATTACACAACACACATTGCACACCTAGGGTTGGCAAACGAGAGATTTCATTACAGTCAACAGTTGGGCAAGTGTACAATTTGTTCTCCGCTTCCCATGCCGTCAAATTGTTTTGATTCTGCGAACTGGCACAACCCAAGAGTTCGGGACGTCCATTTTCGTATTTGGCAAAACAGTAATCATTGTCGACAGCATTCTCGCAACGTTGGCTGACACTGGTGAGGCACGAGGCGTCAGTGCAAACGTGGCAGCTAAAGTAGTTTTTGGGATAAACGAAATCATTACAATTGGGAGTGTTACAGCTGGAGCATTCGTCGCTATCTCCACGGCACTCGTTGCGATGGTACAATTCCTTGTCATCCAAACAGGAGCGTATCACCTGTGAGCCCTTCACTGCCACCATACATTCCTTATTACAGGCTCGTTTGGTGAAGTTAGCGTTTTGTGGATCAGTTGAGCACAATGGATTCGTATCGGAATTACAGAAATTGCACTCGATATAATCCGTCGTATTCCAAGCATCATTACATTCGTTTGATTTGCAGCTGAAACATAGATGTGGATTTTCACGACAATGGCGTTGCTCGTAGACTTCAACATCATCGAAACAACCACGACGCTTCACATCACCGTCCGTTGTGAAGACAGTCACACAGTCTTGTGCTATATTACCGGTGCATTCGTAGGCTGGCCCCAACGACTGCAGGCAGTGTTCGCCCTCACAGGTGTGACATCTTAATGGCAAATCTTGCCACACACCATGTACGCCATCGTCTTTGGCTCGGTTCAGCAGATCGATGGAATTACAGGCGCTACCATTGCATGAGACGCAGTTTCTGTCGTTAAGGTCACACAAGATCTCCGAGCTGCAGCCACGTATTGTAACGTTGTTGCTTACGGCGGTTCGGCATTTCTCTGTCTCTGTAACGTATGGGCATGGCAAGAGGCGTGTTGGGTTGGACTGGCAGTAATCATCATCTTCGCTAGTACAGGTGTAACACTGTTGACGATCCTCCGGGAAAACCTAAGTAGATGGGAAGATTTATTAATGCTCTACATAGCTTTTTGTGCATTTGAAGATTGATCAAAAGTGTTTGGTAGATATAAAAAATCAGAATATCGCTAATTTGCCATCTGGGAAAAATTATTTTCACAATTAGCGACCACACTACGACTTTTCCTTTTCGTTATTTTTTCAACGCCAGATGCTACCTAGAACAAACGACTACCCAAATGAGGTGACGATGTTGCACACTTTGGGATTCTTAACAGGTCATCTCTGTTCTGTCGATTACCGTATTGAAGTTACCGAAAGATTGCTGGCGGACAATTTCTAAGTGGTACTACTAAGTAAGTTTGATAATGATATCTTTAAGGGTAAAGGTAGAGATCTCAAAATCAATGGATATTGTCCCCAGGTTTTACCCAATTCTCATAATTTCCTATCTTAATTGAAGTGCTTTCAGTATTCTGCTCGCAATAGAGAAATAAGGAAAATCGTGTAGTTTTCCTTTCCCTTTTACTTATCTTAACTTACCTCACGATTGCAACCCTCGCCAATACAAATACTGCAGTTCTTATCATTGCCCAAAACACAGTCGACGAATTCGGTGGTTGGCAGATCACTCAAGCAACCACGTGTTGTCGATCCATCTGTGGAGAAAAAAATATTTAATTGATATAAACTACTATAATGCTACAGCACTGCTTGTATTTACCCGTGCTGACCAATTTAGTGTAGCAGTTGGTATACGGATATATGTTGCAGGTGTTAAATGTGCTAATCTCCTGTGCGTTCACTGCGCAAGTATAATCTGTCCTCGAATCACAAATGGCACACTTCTGTGGTCCCGGTAATTCATTCAACGAATTGCAAGCATCACCCTCGCAAACAAGCACACGCTTCGTGCTGATAATCGCGGTTATTTCTTGATCGCGGAACGAGCTCACACAACCCATTTGACTAACGCTGTTAGTCTCATCGAACCAAGTGAAGCACTGATCTTCACTCTTGTAAAGAGGGCACAATTTCAACTCGGGTTCATCACAGTCGTTACCTTCACACTGATAACAACTCAGACGTTCAGCCGGCACCGTTGCAGAGTTGCACTTATTACCCACACAACGCTGGCATAGCTCACCGTTACATGTTGCTCGATCAGCGGCCTCTTTGTCATCCAAGCAGGTGCGTATCATTTCGTAACCGGGATCACTGCTACTATCCGAGGGATACAACGCAGTCATGCAACCACCTTGACATTGACGCGTTTTGTGCACAGCGCTTTCTGGGTTCCACAAACACGACAGATTCTTTTGTGTGTCACAGTAGATACACTCGTTGTATTGTGTCAGAGCTGTTGCATTGTTGCATGAATTGGACTTGCAGTTCAAACAATTATTCGAATTAGTGTCACAGTAGTCACCGTATTCCTCCTCAACAGCATCACTACAGCCACGTCTGACAACATTACCGCTTTGGAACACCGTAACGCAGTCCTGTTCATTATTGTTCGCACAAGTTAAGGACTGTACACTATTGACATCACCGCACGACGTACCGTTGCACGAGAGACAACTCAACGGCAGATCTTGCCATTTGCCATAGTTATCATCTTGTCTACGTGATAAATTGATGGTATTACAAGCAGCGCCCTCACACGGCCAACAAGATCTCGGCTGGGAGGCATCACAGCGCAAGCTCGAACTGCAGCCACGATAGGTCACATCATCACTGTAAGCTGTGACACAGCTATCGCCGGCGACGTGCAACGGACAAAAGTCCACACTGTTTGGATGGTTTGTGCAAGTCGGATCTGTGATGGAATCGCAAATGTGGCATGAAAGTCGATCTTCCGGATACAATTCATTATTGCAGGAGTTGCCCCTGCAGGCCTGACAATATGGTGCAGTGCCATTTAAGCAGCTACTGAATTCGTCATCGTACAAGCTAGAGAGACAGCCACGCTCGGTAAATCCACCACCTAGTATGCGTGTGTAACACTCAGTGTATGGCAAGAACGAGCAACGAGTGGTGGCTGTGACGCTGTTTGGATTTGTGGCACAATTCAAATCGGTGCGTGAGCTACAGAGCTTACAGGTCTGTGCTGCTGGTAACGCATCGAAAGTGTTACAATTATCACCATCACAGTAGAACAGTCGTTTATTTTGTAGCAGATAATCAGCTTCAGCATTGCTGAACTCACTACGGCAACCGAAGCCGACAATGCTGCGCTCCTCATCGAATTGTATGTAACATTGGTCACCCTCGCGATATGTGGCACATGACTGCGGCTGTAGGTCCTGGCAATCATCACCTTGACACACATTACAGCTTAGACGTGCCTCCGGCACTGTCTGCGTGTTACAACTGGCTTCAGCGCAGACCTGGCAATGTTCTTTTTGGCCAGCCGCGCAAGCTTCACGATCATCATACTCCAAATCGTCGAAGCATGTGCGCGCCAGTCCGTAGGCAGGGTTGAATTCGTCATACTTGGGGTAGAGCGCTGTCACGCAGTATGTATTACACTTACGTGTCTGCGTCACCGCACTGGCGTTGTTCAAACAGTTACCATTGCTATCAGTGTCACAATAAATACAGTCAATGTAATCGGCTAAACGTGTTGAGTTGTTGCAGCCGTTCGAGTTGCAACGCAAGCAATTTTCTGGGTTCGTGGTGCAAAGCGCGTTATTGTTTTCCTCGACAGCGTCACTGCAGCCACGTTGTATTACCTTACCGTCTGTATTAAAGACTGTCATACAGCTCTGGTATATATTGCTGGTACAAACACGATAGTTGCCTAAACTCTCGCAATTCGCTTCGCCTTCACATGTGCGACATGTAATCGGTACATCCTGCCATCTGCCGGGTTGGCCTTGTTCTTGTACTTTCTCCAAGTCCACCGTATTACAACCACTGATGGTGCAAATGCGGCAAGTATTCCTGTCACTTTCATCGTCGCAGCGCATGCTGGACGCGCAGCCACGTGTCGTAATGCCATCGCGCAAATTCGTGACACAGCTATCATTTTGGTTGTAGATCGGACAGATCATGTTGCTGTTCGGTGTGCTACTGCAAAGTGGATCTATATCGGAGCTACATTGTTGACATTGCCAACGGTTTGTGGGGAAAACGTCCAAACCATTGCATTTGTCACCGGTGCAAGTCTCACAAAGGGTACTGTTGTCGTAGAGACAGTTGTAGAAGGTGTCCTCGGGCAAGTTGGAAAGACAACCACGTGCGGTATGGCCATCTATGGGTGATAGGAAAGCATATTAATTCATCGTACTCTTACGTAAGTAGTAATTACAACGTAACAAAAGAAATGAAAATGTGAAAACAGCGGATATTACAATTGCACAAGTTTACAAAATATCGGAGACAGGTTTAGTAGTTGATACATAATGCATGCGTGTTATATAATATGTATACACTTACTCTCCTTTACGCGAGTGAAACAATTCGTGTAGGGCAGATTCGTACAGCGTTCTATATCGGTCACCAGGTTAGGGTTGGTCGCACAACGTCCATCGCTCTCGGAATCACACACCGAACAAGTTTTAGCGGTTGGTATAGATTCCACTCCATTGCATGACTCACCATCACACAATAACAGTATCTTCTGTTTGATAAGTTCCGTTATGACATCGGACTCTAAGTCACTGCGACAACCCATGCCAACAATGCTGTTCTCTGCATCGAAGCTAATGTAACATTGATCATTCGGATGGTAGGCGCTACATTCGGCCACTTTATAGTCAATGCATTCGTTATCCACACAGGTGTAGCACCTATGTCTGTTTGCCGGAAAAGAGGCAGTGTTGCATAGCGGACCCTCGCATGCCACACAAAGCTCATGTTCACCCGCCAAACATTTCTCTCGATCGTCCAGCTCCAAATCGTCCAAACATGTGCGTGCCAGTTCGTACGATGGATTTTCGGAGCTACTACGTGGATACAATGCCACAGCGCAATAACCTTGACATTGACGCTGCGTGCTATTTGCGGCAACGAAGTCTACAGCACATTGTGCGTCACTCGCCGAATCACATGAGTAGCAATCAACATATTGATCCAAACTGGTGGCATTATTACAATTATTTGATTTGCAGCCGACACATTTGCCAGCATTATCTTCACAGTATTCCTCATGTGTTGCCAAGACATCGTCACTACAACCGCGTCGCACCACCTCATCATCAGCGCCAAAGACAGTTTGGCAAGTTTGCAGGTTATTGTTTTCGCATTCATACAGTGTACCGGTCGCATTGCGGCAATCGTCCGCTTGGCAATTGTAGCAAGTTAATGGCAGATCCTGCCATTTACCCGGCTCGCCGATATCTAAGCCACTCAAATTGCTCAAGTCAACAGTATTACAATTGTCTACGTTGCAATAGCGACAATGTAGCCTGTCTGTGACGTCACATTGGAAATCGGAGCTGCAACCGCGGTAGGTGTAGCCGTTAACCAATTTAGTGGCACAGAATTCATTTTCGCCATAGATTGGACATACTGAAGCGGCGTTTGGCGAGCTTTGGCAAGTGGGATCGTTTTCGGAATTGCAGCGTTGACAGCTGCGACGATCTTGTGGGAAGATCTGTGGATGTGAAAAATAATTAGAGCTTGCTCTTGAAAAAAGAAAGATTGTTAATATAATGGAAGTTGTTCGTCTGCTATAAACTTGTAATAAATTAAAATGTAGTTCTATTATTTTAGGCCCAAATTCGCTTATCTCTTTATTGCAGAGATAATCATTAGACCAAAAAATATACATGAGTATCTAAGACCCACCGATATCGGCCACGCATTTTTAACAATTCTTCAGTAATGCTCCGAACTATTGACCCCAATATTTTTTTATCAGCGGAGACATAGGTAGGAACAGACTGGGAGCACTCGGAAAAAACCAATACTACTTTTGAGCACTTAGTGAAAGTTCCCTTTGAGACAACAACTATCAAATTTTTTTAATGAATACTTACCTCAGAATTGCATCGCCTACCAACACAAGCTAAGCACTGCGCTGTATTTGCGCCCAGCAAACAATCGTAGAAGTCCTCATCCTCAATGCTGGTCAAGCAGCCACGTTCCGTATGGCCGTCTTAAAGAAAACCCAGAAGTATGCGATTTATAAATTACTGTTACAGCCTTAAGCAATGCTTAGTTGCTGGTACTTACCACTCAACACACGCGAATAGCATTGCGTATAAGGTGCTCTGGCGCATGTTGTTTGCGATGTGACATTTTGCGGCGCAATCGCACAGTTCGCATCGGTTATCGAATTGCAAAGAGCACAAAGTTGACTTGATGGCGTGGCATCGATAGTATTACAATTTTCACCATCACAAAGCCACAGACGTTTAGCTATAATACGCTCCCTAACCTCAGCCGGGTCGTAATTGCTCTTGCAACCCAATTCCACAATCGATCTGGTCTCATCGTATTCTACGAAGCATTGATCGCCTTCGGTTACAGCGCGACAAGCTTTTGCTACAGGACTTTGACATTCATCGCCCACACATTGATAACACGAAATGCGCTCACCAACACTGGCATCATTACAATATTCCTCGTCACATGCTTTGCAGTTTGCATCATTACCATCGGCACAGATTTCACGATCGTTCAAATCCATATCATCGAGACAGGTGCGTATTAATTCACGCACCGGCGTGGCATCATTGGTGCGATTATACAAAGTCGTTACACAACTCTTATAACACGCGCGCCTCTGCTGGATTTTACTGACATCAGTCAAGCAGCGCTCATCTACTTGCGCGTCACAAAAGATACATTCGATGTAGTCATCTGCCGTCCTGGCCACATTACAACCATTCGATTTGCAATCGTAACAATTGTTTTCATTATCATCACACGCCTCCTCCCAGGCATCACTACAGCCACGTCCGATTAATTGGCCATCGGTTGCATTAAATACCGACGTACATGTTTGATATATATTATTTTGGCATTTTCGCACATTTCCTAAACTGGCGCTGCACTCCTCGGTGCCATTGCAGTTGTAACAGTTCAATGGCAATTCCTGGAAAATACCTGGATTGCCAATGGGATACTCCTTGAAGACATAATCGTTACAATAGGAGTCCTCACACGTACGACAAGTCTTCGAGTCTTCACCACCATCACATTCTAGTTCGGTGCCACAACCGCGATGCACAATGCCATCGATCAATTTAGTCACACAAATATCATCATTGTCAAATATCGGACAAGCAGAATAATTACTATTCTCAGGATTATTGTCGCAGTTGGGGTCGTCGAAGGAATTGCAACGGTAGCAGCGTTGGCGACTACTGGGATAGATGTTCACATTGCAGTTGCTTTGAGTGCAGATTCTGCAGTACTCGCCGGGTGTGCCTTCATTGCAGCTGAGGAACTCCGTATTATTTAGCGTGCTAATACAGCCACGTACAGTGTGACCATCTGTGAGAAATAATGTTTTTAAATTAGAACTATTAATGGTGGAAATTACAATTCAGAACAAAAAGGGAGTAAAGAGAGAAAGTTTGAACAAAATTTCTGCCTTAACAGCTTTGGTGAGCGAGAGAGAGAGAGAGAAAGAGAAATTGAGAGAGATTCGGCTGTCACGTAATCTTATACTCCATCGAATTTGTTTACTCGTTCGGTCTCTATCCCTCTCTCTGTTTGTCTTTACGATTTAACTTAGTCAACTAAACATTATACTATATTTCCTTACCATCATTAATGCGCGTAAAGCAGTCGGTATGCGGATTTATTTGACATCTCACTTGATTTGTAATGGCTGTAGGTTGGATGGCACAATTCACATCTGTCGCCGAATTGCAAACGTAACATATATGAGCTTCCGGTAAATTGTCGTAATCATTGCAATCGTCACCATCGCAGAGGAAATAATGCAGAACATCATTGTAAATCGCACCAGTTGGCAAACTGCTCTTGCAACCCATACGCACAGCGCTGTATGTTACATTATCAAAGAACATATAACACTGATCATTTGTGGAATAAGTGCTACAAACACTCGATACTGGACTGTCACAATCATCGCCATCGCAGTGCAAACAAGAGAGGCGTCCTTCGGCAGGCACGAACGCTGTATTACATTTCTCGCCGGTACATTGGACACAGTTATTCGCCTCGGTGCATGTCTCGCGATCATCAAACTCAACATCCTCAAAGCAGGTGCGCGCCAGATCGAACACATTAGGTGTTGATTCGCGCTCATACAACGCCGTCACGCAGCCATCTACGCAATCGCGTGTGCTTGTAATTGCGGATATATTCGCTGCACAATCGGCATTGATGGCTGTATCGCAATACAGACATTGTTCTTTCGTTTTAACTTCAGTGTTGTTGTTGCAACCGTTCGATTTGCAATTGAAACAAAGTGCCGGGTTTGTGGCGCATTGGGACTGATGTTCGGCACTAATGCTTGCTTCACAGCCGCGTTCCAATACTGTTCCAGCGGCATCAAAGACCGTGAAACAATCTTGATATAAGGTACCCACACATTTGCGCAATAATCCTTTGCTCGTCTCGCAAGCTTCATCCACGCAAGTGTAACAATTCAATGGCAAGTCTTGGAAAATACCGTACAATTCCTCGGTACGTTTCTGCACATTTGCTTGATTGCAGCCATTCTCAACGCAAATTTCACAATTTCTGGCAGTTGCATCGCAAGTGAACTCACTAGCGCAGCCACGACGTGTCACACCGGACTCGTAGACAGATACGCATGTATCGTTTATGTTATATGTGGGGCAAGTGGAGAGCGCTGATGGCAGGTTGCTGCAATTGCTATTCGCATCGGAATCACAGCGTTGACATTGTTGCCGATCGGCGGGCACGATCTGTGAATAATGTTATTATTAAGAAACGTTATTGAAATTCGTAAAAGAATGTTAGTCAATGTAGGGACTGAGAGAAGATATATGGCTAAAATCTAGTCGACTTAGACGTTATATTCAATATTATACAGTAACCATGCATCTTCAGCTGACGCAGACGTACTGGTCTTAACCGTATGTTAAACACTTAATAAAGAGACGAAATTTTCAAAGCATATGACAGTCGTTTTTCTCATAAATAACAATTCGATCAGCTAACGAACCAGTTTCATCAGTGCCATTTAACTTTAATTGAATGCCATGTATATTTTCAGAACTTGTCGTGTAGAACTGTAAAGTAATAAGTGCGGCCTACATTTAGGCTGACTGTTAAATTCATTTTAGCAAAGCGACACACCTTTTAAAAGCAGTGACCATAAATACATAAACAATGTCAAAAGATTAATTCCTTAAAGAAACACAATCATTCAATCATAAAGAATTTTGTTTCATAAAATTAATAAATTATCTTAGCTTCTTTCAGATGATTCTTCTTAAGCAAGTCAGGCACAACAATGTCAATATCATCGTTCAGGCTCACCTCTGTATTGCAGCCACTCTCCGTGCACACTTTGCAATTATCATCCTCTCCACTAAGGCAATTGTAGAAATCATCACCTTCCAGTTCGACGAGACAACCACGCTCTGTCGTGCCACCGTTTGCGATATTGACACGTTCATAGCACTGTGTAAAGGGCACAGTATTGCAACGTCTCGATGTACCTGCAGTTGCAGGCTGAACGGCACATCTCACATCTGTTGCCGAGTCGCAAACGGTGCATTCATTTATTTGTGGTAAATTTTCAAAACCATTACAATCCGCCGTCGAACACACGTAAAGCTCTTTATTTTTGATTAAGTTGGCAATTTCAGTCTCATTCCCCAAAGTCGAGGCACAACCCATGCCAATGAAGTTTAGGGTTTCATCTAGCCGTATATAACACTGATCATTCTCATTGGTGCAATCTTCCAACACAGGCTCGTCACAGTCCTCGCCATCACAATGACTACATTGAAGAGCAGAGGCAACAACTGCAAGAATTCATAAACATTAATTAATAATCAAGCATAATTAATTTTACACCTAATTACATAGGTGTTATGTTTAGTAGAGCGTTTAATTTTTTTATTGCATATTTTTCATTATGGTTTTTTATTTTCAAATGAAATGTCAGCGTTATAACAATACATTTTAGAAAGTTCAAATTTCATTACAGCTACAGTTACTCTATGCAGAAACTTAGTCCCCTTTTAGGTAACTTGAACTAAATTTGCTTTAATTTAAAGTTGAGCATTCACGATGTTTGGAAAATTTTCAACTTCAAATAATATTTTTTCAGTTTTAAACAACATTTCTCAATTAAAAAAAATGTTTCTTGGGTTGCGAACAGTCAACCAGCGTAAATCAAGTTGCCTGCATTAACACATGGAAATAAACAAAGGTGAGGTAATGCCATTCAATGTCTGCCTTTCCGTCTATTATATACTATATTTATGTAGTATTGAGTGCATGTCTTATTGAAAAACTTATAAAATAATCTAACAAATCTAGGCATCGGCATCTAGGTACGGGTGTAGTTTTAAAAGTTGTAAATAGGGGCTAAGTCTGAAATCTACTTAGAACGAACTTTTTCAGAATTGAAAAATGTGCTAAAGCTTAAAATTTTTGAGGTGGGTAATGCTAAAGCAAAGAGTACAGTTGAGATAAAGCCTCACCTGGCTTTAGTTAGATATAAAATACCATTATTAAATAATATAGAATATTATATGTGAACACAGACGAGATAATTTGGTTATCAAATAAAAATTATTAAAATTGCTACAGGGTGGATCCGAAATTTTTTATTAAATTTTCTAACTATAATACAAAAACTAGACCCAGAACTTTTTCACAAAATATAAAAAAAATTAAAACAACATTCACTCGATGCAAACAGTACTCGAAAATATTGTTATTTTCTGGTCTCACTTTGACTGGCTTCACTCAGTGAAACCTTTTATTTGAAATTGAAGTTTTGAGCAACAATCAAGCAGCCTTTGAGGAGCAAAAAAATAATAATAATTTTTGATAGAGTGATTTGGAAAAAAAAAATCAGAAAAGCGCTATCAAGACGATATTATGAAAAATTTCACTCTAATCACTAAAAATTTGCTAAAAGTCATAAAAGCTCAAAAGATCAGCAGACCAAGAGTCAAATTTCAAACTGACACCTTTATTCCACTAAGTTATTCGTTAAACAAGAGCTCGTGCCTAGTTTCGTGAAGATACCTCGTCAAATAAAAATGTTTTCCATCCAAATACTTTATTCCGATCGCTCAGTTAATATTGCAGCTATATGCTAAAGTCATCCGATCTATACAACTTCTTTGGAGATTGCATTATTACCTAAAATATTAATCCATGCCAAATTTCGTGAAGATACCTCGTCAAATAAAAGTTTTTCATACATACCCTTGATTCCGATCGTTCAGTTTGAATGGCAACTATTTGCTATATTGATCCGACCTAAACAATTTCTTCAAAGATTACATTGTTACTTTAAAAAATAACTCATGCCAAATTTCGTATGTATATTAAGTAAAATAAAAAAGTTTCCCATATTAGTACTTGATTCCGATTGTTTAGTTTGTATGGCAGCTATATGCTATAGTGGTCCGATATCGGCCGTTCCGACAAATGAGCAGCTTCTTAGTGAGAAAAGGACAGATGCGAAATTTCAGATGAAAAGCTTAAAAACTGAGGGGCTAGTTTGTATATATACAGACAGATGGTCAGACAGACGGACATGGCTAAATCAACTCAGCTCATCATGCTGATCATTTATCTATATATTTAATAGGGTGTCAGACGTTTCCCTCAGGGTGTAACAAACTTCGTGGCAAACTTAATATATGTTAAAATGTTAAAAGATAAAAATTTTTTTTTTTTTTATCAAAAAAATTGAATTTTAAAAATATTGCAGTATCTATGCCGGCCGGTACGCGTATACGAATATATCACTTACCTACAAACTTTTATTTACAACCGTTATTAACATTTATAGCGCAATTCAAGTAAACGCTTTATGGCGAATTTATACAATAGCTTATCGAAACAGTATTAATTGCCTTTTTTTTTACTGATTTTTCGACAATCGTTACATACCGCGAGCAATTATGTACTTAGTGGATTTGGTAGACGTGCGTCCATGAAGGTGTTATAAATAACAATCAATAATAACAACAATAATGGCTGGGAAAACTAGAAATGTGAGAAAGGCTAAAAATATTTTAAAAAAAGTAAAGAATAAAAAATCTTGCAACTAAGGGATATGTAAAAACAAAAATTTAGCGCCACTGCCTTTTTGATTTATTTTACCAGAATGCTTAGTCCTTACGAAATTTTTAGATGCTTGCTAAATATCCCTTTTGAGATTATGATACCAAATTAGAACACCCTCAGTTTTAGTGCCCAATATATGGTACCATCGAGCTTATCTACATGTTAATGAATTTACAATTTGTGAATATTTATTTAAATTTCGTACGAGTATATAGTACTGTTATCAGCGGTTTCGATGATAAGATTTGACGCATAAGACGTCGGCATTCAGATTAGTTTACGCTTGTTGGAAAACTTAAGTTATAAAATTAAGATTATAGTAGATTTTTGACAAGAAATAGGCTGTCAAAAAATGTATAATTTTTATAAATAACATATTCTTATCATATGATATATTATTCGTACATAATTCCTGCGAGAACGTGATGAAATGTAAGATTCTTCTGCTAAAAGACGTTCAAATAAGATTCAAAGAATTCACATCAAACTTTTTTTTCCTTCAGCAACACTAATATTCCTATATAGATCATAATAGGCGAGTGAATCTGATCTAAGATCAGCAATTTTTGCTTACTTCAAACCATATAGACATTTCTAAGGGGATTTTTTATAATATATATACTAGCAGTGCTACCCTTAAAAAACTTAATTATCATGTATATCAAATAAATGGGCTTACACAAATTTAAATAATTTTAAGGTATAAAGACATTGTCTCCTGAAAAATGATTGCTTCATCGGCATTCTATTTTAGCACTCAAACATACAACTGTTGTTTAATTTCTGACAATATAAGTAAATTTAGAATCTCAATTTTACATTTTATTTACAGCTCTCTTCGCCACACTTCAATATTTGTAGAATTTCTCTATTAATTAAGTAGTGGTTAGAGGTACGCACTAAAATTGTGCAACTACTGTGTTCGATCTCGTTGTCTGTTTCGAACAACAATAAGAAAAAAAATCCGTTTCTAAAAACGGTCGATATTTTTCAAAAGAATTTTTATGTTGTTGGAACCGAATGAAAAGATTGCGGTCAGAAATTCGGTCTTTAAATTTTTGTCACAAAGTGGTCACAGAAAATCCAATTTATGTTTTCCAAAGAATATCCAAGGAAGCCAAATGTTCCTCAGTTGAAACAACTGATTTTGAGCACGAAAAATTATTGAACTTCCTTACAGTAGTAAGAAGTGACGATTATTTTTTTCGCCATTTGATTTTTATATTCTTGATTTCAATTCACAATTGCATACACTTCACATATCAAATCTTCTGAAAGTTTAGTTTTTAGAATCTTGGTGCTTTTTGAACTTATAGAAAGTAGTTATAGCAGGCAGATAAGAAAAGGAAAAAGTTTGTCAAAAACGTTTCCTCTGATCGAAAAATGTGATGAAAGGAGAGTAAAAATACGGCGGAAGCCATTATATAATACATTATATAATAAAGTGATCAATACAGATTCATCGGAACTAATTCACTAAATCTCTAGACTGTGGTATAAAATAAAGAATTTCAAAAAATTAATATTTACTTCATAATTTTTCGTTTCAAAGAATCTGATCGGCTTCAAAAGATTTAATATTTTTTTATTCAACTAAAATGCTCAAAATTCTATAAGATTGTTTGAAGCCGAATCAAGTCTCACCAAAATCAAAGTTTTCTACAAACTTAGTTTCCCAAACGGGTTGATTATTCTGTGATAATATTGATTTCCATATTCAGTTTTAGTGCCAATACTTGCTTTGCGATGAATAATTGAGCTTCAATTATTACACATACGTGATTAAGACACAATTTGAATAAAAGATCCAAATTCATATGCGTTATACTTTTATGATTTGTTGTTTTTTTTTTATTTTCATAACTTAGCCGCTTATCTTCAATATTGTTTTATTTATTTAGGTTTCCACATTTTATCACTTGGTTTACGTATCACGTATGGTTTATTTAAATTTATAGTTGCTTTAGACTTTGCTATGCTCATAAAAACATAAATTATTTAGCGAAATACTAAATGTTTCTGCATGAAATCCATTTAGAACTTTTATATAATAAATGGTTTTCCGTTAATTTTATAGTTTTGAATTTCACAATATTTCACTGAAATTTTAAACGCACTGTCACACGTGGAGCTTTGAGTCAATATTTTTTTTTCATAAAATCTTATAATATTTATATATATACAAGTACGTACAAAATATTGAATATAAAAATTATTATGCACATATAATATTTTATTTGACTATTTCATGTTTTAATTTGTAGTGTCCTACCAATTTCACTGCTGACTAGGTAGAACACTAAACCTAATAAAAGGAGTCCAAATTTTCGGGGCAACATTTTGCCCAATTCACGATGCACGTTAAGAGACGTCCGAAAATTTACGGCCAACTAATTTGGCCATTCATTGGTCAGTGGCTTTTATAGACTCGCATTGAATTAGCCGGTGGTGTTATCAACTGATCGCGATACATAATATGTGCCTTTTTATTAGTATTTTACAATGATTTGATAACTTATTAGCGTCACAAGGAACTTTAATACAATATTTATGAGCCACGATATCAATAATAATTGTACTAAATTATTATAAAAAAGAAACAACAATATATACAGCAGCTAACTAACAAGTACAACTAACAACAAGTATTGCAATTTAGATTAGTTCTTGCACTAGAAATGCCAAAGTTTGTGGTCGTGTGTCATTGGTAAGCTTAGCGACATACATACATATCTACATGCCATTTATTATCGTTCGTTAATCGTAATCTGAACAGGAATCCCATAGTATTATACACGTAACATATCATTACTATCGGTACTTATTGTTTTTGAGATTAGAATTGCTGTAAAAGTTTCATAGACCAAATCAAACACATGTGGAAGTGTACAGTATTTATATATATATATATATATATATGTGTGTAGGTACAATTGTACCTTAGTCCATCTGTCATTCATATTTTTGCACGCGCTTACAATAATGCATGCCATAAAATATATATATTTCATATATGCACATGCTTATCGGCTTATCTATCCGTCCTTGGCTCCTTCAAATAGTTTTAACCGCAAACTTGAACTTTATACATACATATGTATTTAAGTTTTTGTCGTAACATTTCATTAATATCACCCCTTAATATACTTGTAAATTCTTCTAAACATTTTCAGTCTACTTAAATCATTTTTAAGTGTAACCTTGTTCTATGTTCAATGAAACTCAAATTTTCTTGTCCATCTGTCGCATGTCGCATTACAACTCTCTATTGTTACATACATATTATGTAAGTATATTTGTAAGTACACATCGCCATATGCAGTATCACAAACACACACACTTGCGCGAATAATTGACAAACTTTATATAAATGTACATTTGCTTGTAAGTATTATAAATTACAACGAAATATCCAGGCATATTGGCAACAACAAATACATCCAACCAAACTCTTTTCTTCAGCATCGTATGCTATAGGTAATGAAGCCACACTTAAGCAACCACCTAATGAAGTGCGAGCAGAGGAGGGTGCTTGAGCTCGAGTCCTGGTCAAATTTTGTTTTTTTCGCTTATTTTTACTGTTTTATTTTTTTTAGATTGAAGACGAGATTTTAACAACATAATTTAAAAAAAATTTCCTAAGAAAGTTATTACCAATATTTCATTTATTTGATTAATCAAATTGAATAGAAAGTACAAACTGGAGGGAACACTGCCTAAAAATTACTCCACTGTCTTATTATGAATTTGTAGTTGAGTACCCATATTTAGTGCATTTTTATCGCATCATATTGTTTGTTTAAGTTTTTAACAGGTGACAACTCTACTCAAAAATGCCTGGGACAAAAATCTTTCTCAAACTTTTGTAATTTTTTCTTTTCTTTTAATAATTTTCAATCGATATATTAAACATTTGGCGAATCTTCATAAAAATACTTTCAGTTGTATGTACCTTAAACCTCTACAGTTAAATAGCTATATGGATAAATTTGTGTACTACCATAGTAGAGTAAAGATTTTAAAGGTATCAACGTTTTTTATGCTTATATTTTATTAATTTTCTTTATGCATATTTCGATTACTCTACGTATCATAACCATAAATTTTTTATCGTCAATACATTTTTTTTATTGATTTCAAATCTAAGTCATTTCGGGCATATAAAAGTATACTTTTATTATATTGAGGACGATTTCAGTAGAAACGATAAGCCAATAGAATAAAAGTCTCAGAGTTAAATTAACACAAAAACCGATTATGAATTAATATCACCGCTTATATTTATTTTTTTCCTCTTTTTGTATTTATTTTATTGCGCTTTCAACAAGTTCCAGTCTTTAAGAAATATTTAGATTTTACACAAGCAAAAAATATTTATCACGATAAAATATTTTGTAATTAATGAGCCAATAAACAAGTATTAACACCTTTGCCTTTGATTTGCCAAATTTAACAAACTTAATTAGCGAATCGAAAAGCAACTGTCACAAAATCACAAGCAAAAACGCTAATCTCGTTTGCACAGATGCTATAGTATATAGAAAAGTACGGATGCAAAATTCCAGACCGTTATCTCAAAAACTAAGGGACTAGTTCGCATGTATACATACAGACATCGACTCAGCTCGTAACCCAGCCCACTCCCCATATAATGGTATGAGATCACTTTAGAGGATCCGCTTTCGAAATTAGGCACTCTTCTCATATTTCTATGTTATAGTACGAAAATGGGCGAAATCAGATTATAACCACGCCTATTTCCCATATAACACTATTTTAAATTTCATCTGATTTTTTCACTTTCCACTATGCAAATCAAGCAACAATTATTATATCGGCGTAAAACTGTGCCTGAATAATACGTTTAAAGTATGCCACCTTGTTACCAAAAATTGTCTAAATCGAACCAAAACTGTTCAAGTCCCTAGCTACGGAATATGTGGACCCCAGTGCCTATAGTTGACTTTTTACCGCCCTTCTTTACTTGTTATATATTTTTATGGTAGGTCTCTGAAGTTTCATTTTGGGTGTTACAAACATCGTGGTAAACTTAATAAACCCTGTTCAGGGCTTATAATCAACATGGAAAGATTCGTGAATATCTTTTATTATATCTTCATTGGTTTCCTTTGAAATGAAATAGATAATTGCTACTTGAATTAGGTATCTACACACGTTATTGCTTTGACTTCAACCAGATAATTGATTTAACATAACGGAACGAAGAACATTAACTATTTGGGATATAATTTGCTACTAATTAAGAAAGTTACACCTATGAAATATCATCCTCGACCCTAACACAGAATTTAAAATACGTAAATTATTTGAATGGATCGTGAAAAAAACATACATTAGCTCGTCAAATAGATATTTTACTATAACAAGACTGAATCAAATACTTTGTAACCAGAATTTTATGGCTGAAAACTGGTATAAAAATGCGAGATCAAAATTCTTCTGAGTACATCTCTTACTTATGAACCAGTTTTATACTAAGTGATCATAACTTTGTCTTTCAAGCAAAGAATACATTAAAGGGGCATTCTTAAGTCCCTTAGCTTTCTGATTAAGAACCAAGTCGTAATAACGTTCGCACCACAGTCTGGTCTAGGTAACCGGAACGGACCCGTATTTTTATGTGGCAAATATACATATACAGCAAATGCACCCTAAATAACGAATTTCATCCGGAACTGAGCAACGTTTTTTGTGGGCCGATAACATAAATAATGACATTTTCAATTAGAATGAGCAGTGAGTTAAACGGCAGACACTCTTAGATTACCCCAACTTAGTCACCAGCCCACTTTACTGCAGACTTGTTTCCTCCGTTATCAATTCTGGCGAAAATTATTGTCTACTAGTTTTTCTACCGATATACGTCGGTATTCTAATCAAATGTTATAAAAGGAATTAACACCCTTAAAAGTTATCATTTAATTGATAATTGTATAGGTTAGTAAGAGTTGATTAGTGTATATGTTTTTATGAAGTTTCATTGTCACTTAAATGATAGAACTTAAATTTACGCAGATTATTGTTATAGTTTTTGATATTACGAACACAAATATGTAATGACTATGTATGACACAAAACTGTTTGTGGAGATAAGGGTCTGTTGTGTCAGATATTTATGAACTTGTCAATGGTGACACATGTATTCGTATATCTGTTTGCATTTGGCCTACATATTTGTTAGTACATATCTAATCTGCGCAAAAATATGTTAAATGTGTACCCCAGGACAATAGGTGTCACTTGGGGGTAGGTATTTATGTAAATATTGTTGTAAATATTCGAAATATAGATTCGGTTATTCATATCTTATGTCTACCCAAAACACCGACAGTTTACAGGATAACTACCTTAGAAATGAGATATTATTATGATTTTTGTCTGAAAACCACTGCTTTGAGACCTGTTTCAGACCCATAGTTTCTTATCCATAGAACATTTTCAGCATATGCGATTTTATAGAAAGAAAATCGACCCGCTCTAATATGTACATATATGTAAAAACTCGTTGGGGCTAACATAATACTAATGAGGTTAGAAAAGTGAGAAATACAAATAATACAGAATATCTCGCAAACTATCTTTCCGAAATCGTTTTATCAATTTATTGATATAAAACATTCTGAATAGACAGCTCTTCTGCAAAATATAATATAATGGCAAGCTCCCTAAATCTCTTTAGTTTAAAAACCGCATTTTCAGGGTATCCCGATCTTCACATTTCTTTATTAAAAATAACTTCACTGTTTCAAAACCCTTATTGAAAAATTTAACTTATTTATTTAATAAAAGTTTTAACAGGTGGCAAGTTCTCTTCCTCTACAGTTGAACAGTGTTTTTTAACCAATAAATTTGTCGAGTTCATCTTTTCATGCAAGCCGTTATATATTTATGTGATTTATCGTATTTGCTAAATTTTTATAAAAACAAGAAAAAAACGCTTCAGTTGCACCGAAGCTATAATACCCTTTATAAATACAAAATAATCCTTACAAGAACTTTGATCGGTCAGTTTGTATGGCAGCTACATTCTTTAGTGACTCGATATTGAAAATTTCTTCGGAGATAGTTCCGTTGCCTTCGACAATAACCCATGTCGAATATCGTAAATATATCTCGTAAATATAGTAGTCCGATATGGGTCATTACAACAGATGTGCAGCTTCTGGGTGAGAAAAAGACGGGTGCAAAATTTCAGATCAATATCTCAAAAACTGAGGGACTAGTTCGCATTTATAATGGCAAACGCACATGGCTAATCATCATCAGCTCGTCACGATGATCATTTATACATTAAAAGCTCTCTGGCGTTTCTTTTAGAGTGTCTACAAAGAAAATTATCGATTTAAAAAATTATGCATTCTCACCATTTAATTGGTTAAAAGTGTAACTGAAGAAAACCCAGAAACAATGAGTATAATTTTTCAATTCTCGATAGAGGATAATATAATTAGAATACAGTTTGTAGTTAACCCTCCCTAGTAAAATTTAATACTGACGTGGAGTAACAAAATTTATTTGGTACCATATGATATGAGTGCTTCTACTTTAGATAGGGAGTTTCGAGTTGAATATTTTCCATGATTTGTTTAATAAAGAGATAACCGATAATGTTCATTCCTAGAATATCTTATTCATATTATTCTATTATATTATATTATAATATTTAACAATACTGCAACTTATTTATTTGTTATCAGGAATTTCCTGTAGCTTTCCCATAATGTTATCTCTCATTTAAAGCAAATAAAAGATCTCTCAATCTATAGACTTGTTTACTGGTTGTCTTCGTTATGAAATGCGCGTTCAGGGCTCGCACGGTTTCAGTTTGAGAAAAACGCTTCTTGTAAAGCTTAAACATTTCAGAAACCACTTAGGTGTCCCCACACATGTATTATATTTACTTATGTACTGAGCGGAAATACCTTACGTATTTATTTATGGATTTGCTATCTCATTTAAAAGTAACAAATAGAAGAGGAAGAATTTTTTAAAACCGTTACAGTAATATTATATATATTAATACTTGTGATTTTAAACTATATACAGTTCTTATTTAAATGATATAAAATACGGCAATGTCATCAAAATCACTACGACAAATAATTTATTTGATACACCGGAGGCACCACTATTTTCAGTATCTGACCCAGAACCTGAACCACTTTCAGAGCTCGAGTCACTACTGTCACCTCCAGAGCTCGAACCATCACCTGAACCGGAACCCGCTCCACTATCTGAGCCACCAGAGCTCGAACCGCCATTACCAGTACCTGAACTTCCAGAGTTCGAGTCACCGCCACCGCCACCTGTACCTGATCCACTGTCAGAGCCACCAGAGCTCGAACCGCCATTACCAGTCCCTGAACCTCCAGAGCTCGAGTCATCTGTACCTGTACCGGAACTCGCTCCATTATCTGAGTCGCCACTGCCACTGCCACCACCAGAACTCGAACCTGAATCATTTGTTGCTGCCCTAGGATCGCGATTGCAGCCATCAATATCACTAGGTGAACAGAGGCTGCAGCCACTGCTATTCAAACATTCTTTTTGCTGCACCAAATCCGTGGCACAACCACGCGTTGCACGGCTTGCCTCGATTTTAGTATAACAATATGTATTTACTGCCCTTGAAATAGAACATCTTTGAGGTTGCAGATTTTCGGTATCACTCGCACATTCGGCATCCTGTAACATAATTCACTAAAGTATCAAATGTATTTCGCAAGTTTAAGATCTTACCTCATTAGAGTCACACTGTATGCAGTCGGTACCCTCAGCGCTAAGATTATTACACAAATCTTCACTGCACTTATGACATTCTCTGTTAACTACGAGTGCTGTCTCATCAACATCGGTAATTTCAGCCACGTCGGCCTCCTCAGTGCTTGGCATTTCACATTTGTTACGTAGCTCTACGGCCAATTGACCAAAGCAGCCTTGTGCTAGGACCATAGCTGCGACAAGCAAATGGAGAAATTAGTTTATAAAGAATACCCGAAGTTTTTAAAGATCCCATACAGTCTTGAAAGATTGTGATACAACTGTCCAGCTCATCTGCGCAATCCTCCGTGGCTGCGTAAGTCATGCGTTGACAATTAATTCCGGTGCATTGGTGACACTTCGTCGCCGCATCAGTAGATTCGATCAGCACTTGCAGCAGCACCAAGGCCACCAGCGCATACATCAGCACTTTATGTGTCCTTTTATTGAACTCCAACATTTTCTTAAGCCTCTAACTACTGGTATCGTTACATCAGCCAAATAAACTGTTGCATTGCTTCGCAACTTATATTTATAGAAATTGTTAGGCTTGTTGTTGGGACGGGAATTCATGGATCACATACTCGTACTTGTAATTTTGCTGATTCTCTCATTTAAACTTTAAATAATATTTTTCTTTGGAATAGTAAAGTGTTTACATCTATCTTAATTTATTTTATTAAATAATAGTACTCATAGATAAATGTGAAGTGGCCTTAAGTTGTACGAATTGACGTGGGGTACAAGACCTCTATGTAATATCACGCACTTAAAAACTGATTACATTTGTAATATGTTACGTATGTATGTATGTACTTTCTATATAATATAGACTGAAAAATAAAAGTACCAAATCCATTCGGAGTTCCTACATTATATTCAATTAAAGCCAAAAGTATTACGATGGCAATTTTCGAAATTTTTTCTTTGTAATAGGAAAGCTGATGAAAACTTAAGCTCCTAAGGCAGACGGACTAACATTCAATGGCTACTTCTTCTTCTTATCTTTATACACTGAAACTATAATCCTTCTGTAGTGCGGCCAAGTCCACGACAACGCGACTTTGCTTGTTTTTTTATAATTCAGTTTCTACTTGAATTCTTTAGTGAGTTCTTAAACGCTTCCTCTACTCAGCACTTAGTGGCTATCTCTATTCCTTTATTATACCCTCAACCGGGTATATTAAGCTACGAAGTTTGTAAAACCCAGAAGGAAACGTCGGAGACTCTATAAAATATATGTATACATGATCAGCTTGACGAGCTGAGTTGATTAGCTATGTCTATCTGTCCGTCCGTCTGTACTTACGCGAATTAATCCCTTTGTTTTTGAGATAAGAAATTTAGCATGGATAACTATTAAAGGCAACGTTACAATCTCCGAACAACATGTTGAGATCGGATCTCTATTGTTCAAGTTCGTATGTGCAAACTTTTTTATTTGTGAAGGGTATTATAGCTTCGGTGCAATCAAAGTTACCATTTTCTCTTTTTTTTCAAAAAAATTAGGCTCTGACTTTCATCTATTTGTTGTACTCACTAGCGCTCCATATGAGTTGGAATAAGTTCTTGTTAACAGCGGTCACCCCCAAAGAGGCAAAGGCTAATCACTACGGGCTCTCATAAAATCCAACAACCTTTCGAAGGTTACTTAAAACTTGTAAGATCAGATAATTTTGGGATCATTTAGCAAAGATGTTTGATTTTAAGTACTACTACCGAATTTACAGTCCTTTGACGGATATATATGTATGTAGGTCCCTTCTGGATACATACACCCGATAACCGTTGTAGCGGTTGAATAAGAATTTTAATCCAGTAATCGCTACTGCCTTTGATTTGAATATAGTAAAAAGTAATCGCTTTCCAACGAAGAGTTTAGACGTATAAAAGATTATACCAACAAGAATTTGTTTAAATGTTTAGATCGGGATCTTTATGAACTATTAATATTATGACATACTTCTCAAAGCCTCTGTAAACTCTTTAGCAGGTGACAGCATCAGAAAAGTACATGCTAGATATTTTATGTCAATTATGAACACTTGCAATATTTTGAAAACAAGGGTTTGCCTGAAAATCTTCACAACTTGAATGCTACTGTCTCACCATAGTAAAAGCGAACACATTTAACGAACTGTTTCTATCAGTAAACGTTGAAATAGTTCACCCATATTCCGGTTGAGATCTTTTCTAAAAGTCAGAGTTCAGCGATCAAAAAGCGTATACTATGTTGTGAAAATTAGCGCAGTAGAAGCTGCGTCAACGTAGCTACTTTCATTTTCCAGTCATGCATAAACCATTCCACAACAAAGAAATTTAAAAAAATATTTTCGACAAATGCAACCACACATTTAAAAAATTTTTTATTGATAAAAAAGAAACAACGTTGAACATCAAAACCGCTAAATTTTAAAAATTTACCTAACCACTCAAATATACGCATATAAATTACTTTCTAAAGCCTCAGAGCACGTGTACCGGGCTGAAAGTCCATACTATTACAGCTCTTCAGTTCGCCGGGTAAGCAAAGCATGCAATTGGCACTCGCATAACAGCTGCGTTGGTCCGCCAGATTTGTGGCACAGCCACGTGTGGTGACACCGCCATCATACTTCACAAAGCAATAGGAGTTCTGGGCCGTCGGGGAGGGACAGCGTGCTGGCATTACGGAGTTGACAGCGCTAGCGCAATTGGCATCCTAGAAATGCAGAAATTTATGCAATTACCGTTATTTTTGTGCAATTGTCAATGGTGAAATATTTGTATGTTTACCTGGCTGGAGTCACACTGCAAGCAGAGATAATTCGGTTGACCCAAATTGTTGCAGCGATCAGTGTTGCATTTATGGCATTCGACAGTGTTGGCATCACAACGGCGACGCAACTCGCTGGGCACCTCGAGTGAGCAACCCTTTTGCACAACGGTAACTAAAAAGTCCGGTTATAAAGTTAATGATTCATTGAAGGTAGAACTCAAAGTTTATAATTTTTAGTTTTTGATATTATTCTAAACTTCTTTTTGGCACTCACACTTATCAAAAACAGTCACGCAATAATCCAAAGCATTCAAGCATGTCTGCTCTTGGACAAGCGACGTTCTTTGACAGTTAATCCCTTCACAGGCATAGCAGGTCCTTGCCTGCTGGCTAGCTTTCGCGTTGTGTATGAAGAGCACAGCTGCAAGCAGCGTTGCAACAGCGAGTTGTTTCAAGCGACACATTTCGTTTGGTTAGTCAGTTGAAATGATAATCGTCGGTTTCTTTTATAGACTTCAACCTATGCGCTTCCTCTTTGAAATTTTCCAACACTTTGTTGATAAATTCTCAAGTGTGGCACTTGATTTAATTTTATTGCACTTTATTTGTTTATTGCTTATTAATTTCTGAATTATATTTGTTACAACTCTTTGCTAAGACCTCACATATATATATATTTGTATATGAGAGTACACAGCACAACCATATGATCTCAATGGCAAATCAAATAAATTGCTTGTTTTGAAGTGCCATATTTATTGTTTTCGCTGATAAAAGAAAACTCTTCTATAAGCTTCTCTGATAGTTACTAACAGTAACCGGTGATATATAAGTATTGTATCTGCATGCATTCAGCTTACTGGAAATATTACTGCAAAAACATTAATAATAAACACGAAATATTACGAAATAGTCCTTGCGGAATAAATTTATCTATATTGACTTATTCTTCTATTTGATAACTGCTTAAGCGGTAACTTGTAATGGCATGCATGCTAAGGGGAATCCGTAAAGTACGTGAGGCATTTTTCAGAATTTTTTGTACTCCACATCACCTCCACCCCTTCTCTTTAAATTTCACGTTAGATTTGTCAGAATTTGTGTGTTTGGCTGTAAACGCGTTATATTAACGAAAACAAAAAACAAAAAAATACAAAAACATAATTTGTTCCATTACTTTTATATAAGACTCGCTAATCCTAGTGCTTGAGGTTAGACAGTATTACCGTAGTCAATGTGATAAAAAAGAATTTTATTATAATTTGACTTTACTTTTACAAATTTTAAATCATTTTTTACGAGAAAAAAATTACGTGATATTTTTTAAAACCCCTCCCTCTGTCCCATGTAAGATTAGGAAAGCTTTGACTTGACCTTTTCCTCCTTTAAAAACTTCATCTAGACGGTCCCAAAGCGTCGGAGGAGATCTCCATTCTATCCTGCTACGACCAACTTTTATCGGATTAAAACCTTTAAAAAGCTCGAGAGCTTAAAACTATTCAAACGATGTGCTTAGATTCATCGAATTATTTTGAAATCGCCAAAAAGTCCGTAGAACTCATTGTCTTATCTTAAACAAAACACGTTCCGAACGCGTAAAAGCTTATGTACTTTTCTTGTAACCTACTCTCAAATACATAATTCCAACGTTATATTCTTTGTTTAAAGGTGCTCTTAAAGGCAAGAGTGGTTTTATGTTTCATTTCAAAGCTGACTTTCTTGCCGATATGGCGGTAGGATGGACAACGTCGTCCGTAAAATCTGAGAAAGAAGAGTTTCTTTATCCAAAGATGGGAAACAGTAATGCTCAATCCGAAACCTCTTTTAGTTGAAAATAACACTGATGTTTTTTTCCAAATTTTGTCTGTTCAATCTAATTTTAAACGGCAGCATAAGGTACGCGAGGATACCTACGCCTTTGCCTCTCGAAGCCCGATTAAAGTAGGTAAAATAAGCACCTTGAAAGGTAACTTCATATTAATAATACTTTCGCAAATTGTGAAAATATCCGCTAAAAAATATTTTCTACGTTGTATTAGTTTTCCGCAAAGGACTGTGAACCCTAACAGGCTAACCGAACGTGCGTCATGCGTCCTCATTCGAATCAAAAGTTTAGGACTGAAAATATCTGACCATTTTTCAAATAAATATATACATTTATGGACTCAGCAACTTTTCAAGGCCTGTCACGACTGGTTTTTAGCAAATATTCCGATAAACTATACGAACTGTCTTTGCTACCTTCGTTGAGAACTGGTGGAAAGAAAATAAGAGGAACGTCTCCTCTGTGTTGGGAATGTGCATTGAAATGAATGTGACGTAAAGTAGATTATTATATTTGTTTCTGGTTCTTCCATTTCTTAGCTTATCTGCGAATAAATTCTATACTATGTATGATAAAACAACGATTTTGTTGTCAAACCCAGTATCGCCTCAAAAATTATGTAATTTTCTGTGATATATAAAAGTGCTTCAAAGTAATATGATTATTGTCATAAATTCCCAAGCACTTATGATATGATCGGTTTATGTTTATAGTAAGCCGTGAAAGCAATTGGAAGCGCATCATAACGGTATTTTTTGGTATTTGGGATTCCAAGCTAATGAAATTTTATCAGCAAACGTGGAAATATGCACTAGCAACACACTATCGGTCTTCGAGGGCATTTTTGCTAATTCCTTGATAATAACTGTTAATCTGGGAAATTCCATTATATAATATTATATTATACTTGTATGCAGGTATATTTAGCACTTTTGGGGTTATTTCAAACCATTTAGAATGTGAATATATTTATGATATAACCACCATTAGATTAAATTAATAATGAAATTGTTAGTTTAGATTATATTCAAATTTAATACAAAGTGAAACTTTTCATTTAATAAGAAATGGTACTTCTCTTATAATTAAATGTTTAAGTACTTCAAATATAATATTTTAGATATATCTTTCTAGTGTATTGAAATCTTTCTTCAGACCAGCAATCAAAAATTTATATACATAATTTCAAGTAATGCGATTTTATCGAATGTGGAAATCGAAAAACATATCAATTAGTAATTTCGATGCCTTCACCTTTCGCACTCATTCAGTCGCCGTCGTGTAGTGAATCGACAACAGACACTCTCTTGTCAGAAGTTTTACATGTTAAAGCAAAACATAACTATTTTAACCGCTTTCTTCAATGCTTCCAAGTTCTGTTTTACACTTTTTAGACCAGTTTTGCCATTGTGAATGGGTCAAATGACAGTTACTGTCATAAATTTACATGTCAAGCTTTTTTTTATTTTAAAAACCTAAGACTTGAAATCAAATGGAACTGTTCGAAACCAGCAGAGGACATGTTAGCGTAAAGTTGCGCTGCCAATGATGTCCGTTTGTTTAAATACCTGGTATAGTTTGTTTGATTGCTAGTCTCCAACATAAAGAAAACAAATAATCAACTATTGTAGCGATAACAATATAAGCCTGAGAACCAATGTAAATCGCTCTTTTTTTAGCACATGCATGTAGACATTTCATAAGTAAAGTTCTCTCTCGATGAACAAAGCCTTTGTGGGGTCTAAGGGTTTGAATACAGCAAATGTCAATATCATCCCTGAGTTCAACAATTGGGCAGCACGTTTGGTTATTGTTATCATACATTTCTTATCATTCATTTAATTTATGATTTAAGACGAAATAAATACAAGGTTCTTCACGAAGGAGCATTTTTTTAAATAAGGGAATTAATCTGATTGCTTCGAGTAAATCATCATATATTGATGCAGAGAGAAAAAAGCGTCACAAGTACGAAGCGTATAGCCGTGGAGAACTGCGCGAGGTACCATCATCATATAATAAGGTAGATCTAAAGTTGTTCAAGAGAAAAATTCTGCGTAAGATTTATAGACCTGCCTGCGCCTGTAACATCAAAAATATGGTTGGTTCTTACCAATATAAAAGATACCTTTATGAAATTCAAGATTCATTCATCCAAACTTTTCGTTACAATTTCATATCTCGAATACATATAAACAAGGCTTTCTTTAATCTTTAAAAGCTCCTAAAAATCACTCTCTGACTCACTAAATAAAAATATCAGGTCTAACCGAAAGATCTAATTTGGTTAAAACAGTTATTAAAGAGCTTCATAATCAATGTAAATTGTTTTTTTTTCAACATTATGTTGTTCAACCATCCGCTTCATTCCAAATGGAGCTTTGCTTTCAAAATACATACATCTATAACCACCCTATGCATTATATACTCACAAAAAATGTATAGGATAATGAACTTTCAGTTTATACCTTACTAAGTCTAGTCATTACAATTTCTTTATTTCTACAACATGAAGATTAACAGATTATAGATTTTATAATGTTCTCTTATCGCGAGAATTCGCCGTTAAATACTTATATCGAATACTTAATTTCTACTACAAAAAACACTATCACTTATTTATAATGAACGCACTATGAAAGCGAACAGAAAAACAGTAACGGTAGTTGCGATACTGATTTTGCTGAGTCCACTACTGCCGCTTGATTTCGTTTCTGTGGCCATTACGTATGCGTTGCAAGCCACCGCGTCGTCGCTCAAGCACATGGAACACTGTGCATCACTGAGGCACTCTTCCTGTTCTTGTTGATGCACAAAACAGCCACGTGTGATGCCTTCCTCCTTCGATTCGCGGACATAGCAGTAAGAGTTCTGTGCGGTGGGCACGGGGCATTGCACGGCGGTCAGAGCGTCCGAGTCGCTGTCGCATCTTTTATCCTGCGAGGGAAAGATTAGAATATCATTGAATTTGAAGTAATATTCTAGAAATATGTCTTTCCACTTACCTCACTCGACTTGCACTCGATGCATTGGAAATCGGCGCGTCCTTTGTCATTGCAACGATTGCCAAAGCATTTTACACACTCGGGATGGTCGGCCAAGTCACATTTATCACGCAAGTCCGCTTGCAAGTCAGCATAGCAACCGCGAGCAACTACTGTGACTGAAAGAATTAAGGAGAGAAAAGCCAATTAGTATTAGTATTTAGTAGCTGCTTTTAGAGAAAATAGATTTAAAATAAAAATGTGTTATTTATAGATCTCTTCTGGTTTTTTTCACAAAAACACTTGTTTCAACGAGAAGCGGCCGAAAGCACTATATATGAAAAGAAGAATCGATCATTATAATATCTAGAAGAATAATTAACATTTTGTTCTGTTCTTAAAGCACTTTTCTCATCGATAAAACCTTGGTTTTTAGAGTGATGGGTAAGAACTTGAACAGTTAGTTTATAAACTGATCGGAATACCTTTGGCGCATTAAGTTTTCGCTCTAAGATAACAATGTGGTCAATTCAAAACGAGCTCTCAAGACAATTTACATTGATTATGAAAGTCAAGACGTTTTATGACTTGCTGACTAATCATCGGCAAAAGTTAAAGATAAATTTTGACAACCACCTTTAATATCAGAAACGGGCTTTAAGTTTGCTTCTCTTAAAAAAGGATAAGGCTTATAATTATATCTTCTTCTCCTTCGTAAAGGCTATTACTGTATATGTTATTTAGGCGAAGTTTTCAAAAATGCATGGTTTGAGCCTACTCCCCGTTTCGGACTTCAATCATTTCACTCTTTGTCTTTCCAAAGCAGTGTCGGTTAGCCTCATCATCTAGCCCAGTAATAAGTCGTGTAGCTTATATTTTTATTCTTGCAAGATGTTGGTACAGAGTATAATAGCTAAACTAACGGTGTCACCTAAAACTTATCGAATTAGATATAGGGTTATATATGAAAAGATGGGTTGAAATCCGGGTGACTCTTTATCCGTCCGATACAAGACTGTTATTTAGTATACAGGATCAAATTAGGGAGGGACATCTCCAGTTTGCACGAATAATGCGTTTAAAGTATAAAACCTTATAACCAAAAACTGTCTAAATCAAACCAAAACTGTTCAAGCTCCTAGGTACTGAGTATATATAAAATAGCGGTCAATGTGTAAGATATATAATTGAAGTTCATATAATAAAATAAATAAATAAAACTCTCGATAATAGTATGTTTTTGTGTCAAAAATGGGTTGAATCGGATCAATACTTCCTAAAGCCTTCATATACATAATATAAAGATTTTTGAACTTCCGGGTGACTTTATACCGCATTAATCGGCCAATATGCGAGTTCTTAAGGAAAATGAGAGAGCGTGTTTTACTCATAAGCACACACAAATTGCTCTAATTAATTTCATATTTCTAATTATTAAAATATATAAAGAAATCTCAAACGAGTATACCATTTGACTTTGCGAGAGTATAAAATTAGAACTTAGCCCTTCCTGACTTGTTTTAGATATAACGGTTTTGTGCTGACAGGGCAACATAACCTAACCTCAACAGTATTCATATGTATAAATAAGACCTATTAATTTTTTACCCACTTTCCCTAAAGGTTATACGGTATTATGACTGTAATAGTACTTCTATATCATAAAATATTATAAATAATATGATGAGATATTTCTACAGATTGGGTTTTATTCGACGAGAGAGGACTTCTTCTAAAATAAATATATATTGCCACTTGCCACTGTTTTTCGTATGTTTCGGAATAAGCCCAATTATTGTATATAATGGTCTTAATGATTTTTTGTACGCTTCTCTAATTCTTCAAATCATCATTTAGATCTCAACACTTTTTAGATCACGACAACAGTCTATATATAATAGACGCAAACACTGTGATAGATAATCACTTTTATTTTCATTTTAAAATTCTATATACTTTTTTTTAACACTAAACACCCACAGTGATTAATTAACTTACATCCTCTAAATACTGTCACACAATAATCCAACAAATCCAAACAATCGCTGGTGACATTCAATTGTGTTACTCGCAAACAGTTGATGCCTTCACAACTGTAACACGTACGTGGCACCGCTGGGTTAACCGAGTGTTCATCGGCCGTCACATGCGCCAAGGCAAACACAACGAACAAAAGGACACCGTATATGATATTTTTATGTGCGAACGAGTACATCTTATATAACAATAGTACAGGAATAATTTAATAAATGTTTAGTTAAAGAAAAGAAAAGCCCGACAACTTTACAACTCTAAAATTCACCAAAGACTACTGATCAATAAGTCTAAATCACAAATATATAAACGCAAAATATTGACAATTTAAGTGGTGAAATGATGAAGAGGGAAGCAAAAATTATCACGATCAAATTCGCAAGATCGAGTCAAGTGGGCATCTTACATACACGATGGGGGGTAAAGGTGTTGCATGTCTCCCAGGTATCACAATATGTTTACCTAAAATATGTCGTGTTATTCTTCAATATGTTATGAGCACGATAAGTGTGATTGTTTGTGAAATGAATTATCTCCATTTCATATTTATTTATTTGTTATGAAGTGTAATACTCCAAGTGCATAAGGGGCTTGTATTCTTAAATAAATTATATACACTTCTATATAATAAAATAAGACCAAATTTTTTTATTTAGTATCGAATAATCTTCGCATTTAGTATCACAGCGATATGTCAACAAAGAATATCTGATTTCCTTCCTTACAATTTAAACTCTGTATCAAAGACAGCTTATAGTAGAGCATAAAATACCGAAAGCTCCCTACAAGTTTCAATAATTAATTTTTGGAGTTTAACGACTAATGGACTTACTGAATAAAAGTAATCCGAATTTTCTTTCAGGTCGGGATTGACAAATATTGCATGTTTTAATCTAAAAAGTATAACTTTGAAGAAGCTTTAGTAATATCTTACATTACAGTCGATATTTTAGTCATGGGGTTTCAAGAGGAAATAAAACGCATACAGTTTAATGCTACGGCCAAAGAATTAAATTTATTTTAAAGATAAGGGTTTGCCATTAGGTTAAAAAAATGATTTCGGTCAAGTGAATAAACTCCAGCCGATCCAATTTCGTGCCGAATATTTTCTTCCAAGACGTTAAAGTTTCCTTCAATAAATTGATTGTTTCGTTGGATGTATGACATGTAGCGCAGTCTTGCTGGAATCAAAAGTCGTCGACATCAAAATCGTCCAATTCAAGCACGATGAAAGTCATAAATCATGGTTCTATAGCTTTGCCCATTGATTGTAACATTATGACCAGCTTCCTTTTTGAAGAGATATAGACCAACGATATAGATTCCCTCTGCCCATAAAGCACACCAAACCATGACTTTTTGAGGATGTAATGGCGACTCAACAATGTCTTGTGGATTATTATCATTTCAAATGCGACAATTTTCTTTATTCATATACACATTCAACGAAAAGTGAGTAACCCCGAAAACCCTGATCTCTCCGCAATGGATCCTTCTTAAATAAATTGGTTGGGCACAACTCTAATTTGCGCGCGACGGCGGATAGACTAATTTAAGTCTTCTTCGATACTCTGCTTCAAAGCTATCGCTGTCTACAGTGTGCACTGTACGGTTTCACTGAGATATACATTATCCACTAGAATAAACAGGGTGGGAAACCGAACCGCGGTTGCTCGAATTACCGACTCTGCTTGGCGATTATGTCGACCGAATATTGCACACAGCGCGCAATGCGTCGCACAAAACCGAACCATTATTTTGGTAATAAATTTGCACGATTTGCAAACTATGTTCTGGATTAAGTCTGTTCATTATGAAATGGCAAACGAAATTGTGTATAAATCAAGTAACAGCTGCCAAAAAGACCAATTTCTAAAAAAGGGCAATATCTCATTGAAAAACACAGGCTAAAAAAACACCCCTTATATGCTTGAGAAGCTTTGATACCGACTAAAATTGATAGAGTATTCTGCTATTTTTCCTAGCTGGAAAGGAAAATCCTTTTTCCATAAAACAAAATATCACTTTATAAAGTGTAAGCAAGGGCTGCCAACGCAAAAGAGACACAAATAGCAGGATTTGAAGTCTGCGTTCAAAAGATTTAGGGAAAGTCGCGTTTAAATGAAGGCGAATAGCATAACCGATGAATTAATGGACGAAAAATTCCCAATCGTTAATAAAAATTGCGATCATCAGCTGTTTTAAGCTGCTAATTGGTAGGAGTAGAAAGAGGACTGGAAAAACATCGCGTGGAAAAGGATTATAAATCATATATAAGCTTACTAAGTAATGTCCGCCCTTATAAATTACCCTTTACTCTGCGAAAAAGTTTTGTCCACACTTCTGTTAAATACGCAACTTACATTGGTTTAGCCAGCTGTAAGTGTCATAAAAATGCATAAATCGACTTAGCGACTTAACTTATCGTGTTAACATGATATCTGATTACAGACCAGACAGCACGTGCGAAAAACAAAAAAATATATATATTTATAACGTTTAGGTTTAAATTATAAAAATTACATTGATAGTGTAGACTTACATATGCGTATCTATAGTATAGATTCTATGTACATTTATATAGATGCAGTTCTGTGACATTTCATATTGTGCTGAAAAAACGATAGAAGGTATGAAAGCAAATGGCATAAAGGAATTGATACACTGTCATAATAAATAGAGCTGGTATAAAAACGGTTAGACCACTTCAGCCACCAACTCTTTTTATTGAATTCAACTCGCTAACTCTGCTATTTCATTCATATACTCGTACATATATGTTTTTGACAAGAAAGGAGATGCAATTCACATACGGCTTATAAGATTACGTATTGTCTCCCCATTTTTATATAATTCATATCGAAATAATAAAACCAATTCAGTGTCGGGATTTGTTTATAATATCCAGTGTCAGAGTGGGAGAAAAAATATGAATCTTATGATCAATATTTGTATATATACCCCACCGTACGCGCATAATTGACAAAGTCACATTTGCTCTCTCGAAGATGTCACTTCATTTTCATAACTGTTTAAGAAATATACTTATCTGACAGCGTTCAATAGGGGTTCAAGCACATGCCAATCGTTGTATTGATTAGAGTTGGAAAAATTTCACTGATAAACAAAGTTTTGCTAAGTTTGCAGATGAATACATTCAAGTGTATATATGTATGTATGTACAAGTATATATCCGATTTCGATCACGCAAATATTGTGTGGAAATTCTTGATTTGTTGAACTAAATACTAGAAATATAACAGCAGATGTTATTTAATTGATAAATAATTTAAATGATATGATTTTAGATAAATAGGTGTTAAATGTATTGTATCTGGAAGCTTTATCTTTTGAAATGAATCGGACCGAAACTATGGAACAGCTTTTGAGCAATAAGTTGAACTATTTGCTGACACTCTCTTTTTGTATTTGTAATATTTATGCTCTTGCAACATGTTGCTACAAAGTATAATAGTTTTGTTCACCTAACGGTTGTTTGTATCACCTAAAACTCATCGAGATAGATACAGGGCTATATATGTACATATATAATATATAAATGATCTGGATGTTGAGACGAGTTGAAATCCAAGTGAATGTCTGTCTGTCCGTCCATCCGTCCGTGATCTGAGATGACACATCCTTGTAATGGAGATATTATTTTTATCTTGGCTAGATAAAATTTATTACTATTTCTTGATTAAGAAATAAGTATACCGTAAGCACAATATGTATTCGACGTAATGCCAACTAAGCCGAAGTGCTTCATTAAGTAAGTTCAGCTGTCTTACTTAAATTCTTAAGTCATTAAGACACTCGCTCGCAACGGCGAATTTTTAGACATTTAAACATTTTCAAAAGTTTTACTATATCTTAGATCTATTTGAAATTTCTATATAACTATCTTTATTACTAGATCGCAGCTGTTTGTTTACGACGTTGTTTTTTTAACTATGTTGATTCGGTAGTTAAAATGAACCCTAAGTTCAATTTTAGTCTTCATATGGATACCATGGTCTTGAAAGTAAAAGCTGTCAGTTTTGTTAAACGTTGGTCTAAAGAATTTAGAGATCCGTATATTACCAAAACACTTTATACGACTTTGGTTAGACCTATATTGGAATATGACTCAGTTGAATAGAATTCTAGCTACCAAAAGTAGTCTGTTCAAAAACAATTTTTACTTTTCGCCTTAGGGCATTTCCGATGGGATTCTAGGGTAAGTCTACCTCCATACCTAACCTAACCTACACTTTGTAGTCATAAGGAAATGCTTGGCATAATATTCTTAGTGAAAATCTTGAATGGAACAGTTTGCAGTTCTTTTCGCCTGCCTGAAATTAAATTTAATATCCCGGTTCGCTTTTAGAGGCGGTTTAGACCTTTACTGTTAAAATCCTCTAGATCAAATTTCGAACTAAACGAACTATTCCGCCGTATATTTCATGATTTTAATTCTCATTCCAGCACATTTAACTTATCTGACTTAGTTTTCAAAATTAAAAAGAATTTATTTTGCTTTCTTTTAATAAAAAAATATAAAACAATTTATTATATCGTAGCTATAAATCTTAGATGTTGAAATTTTTGTTTCTGTAGTTGAGCAGTTTTGGATCTCAACACTTTTAAAACTCTTTTCTGACTCGGCTAATTCCGCACGTATGCGGATTGCAGCCCTCGCAGAGGGTAATCGTTGGGTTATTATTATTATAAAAGGTTTGTTTGGTTTACCATGGAAAAAAATTAAACAACAAGTTTTTCGGAACAACATCTTTTATGGATCAACTCAAACATTTTGGTTAATGTTTTCGGTGTGAACAAAATTCGCTAAAGGCACTGAAGGCCATCCCATCTAAAGCTGATTATAAGTGTTTGGTAAACTTGCTTGTATTGGCTCAGGAACATATTTTGAACGCGCTAATAATGATTTGTATTAAAATGTTTTTTTTTTTCTGTCCGGGCTTAATTTGATCACAGCGGTCATTTGAGAACTCATATCTTAAGTTCAAATTTCGAAATTGTTAGCTTTTTCATATCGTATCAAGAAACGACAGCAGACAAGTTATTAAGTGGCTAACAATATGCTGCTTATTTGTCGGAACCGCCAATATCTGACCACCATAGCTATAGCTGCCAAACAAACTGAACGATTTAATTCAAGTTTTTATATGACAACTTTTCTATATCACAAGATATCTTTACGAAATTTGGCACGGATTATTATGTAAAACAAGGCTACAATCTCGGAATAATTAGTTCAGATCGGAACACTATAGCATATAGCTGCCTTACAAACTAA